GCCAACCAGTGGGCCGGGGACAACTAGTGGTCAGCAGAGAAATGTCACCCCCAAAGCAATTAATCCAGGCTGCATGGGAACATAAGGCTGTGCCACCCACATGGCCCACGGGAACACAAGGCTTGCGTCGCTTGCATTGTGAACAACACGAGATAGTGAGGGGAGGGGGGAAAGGGTGGAGGGGGGAAATTGCCCCACATGCCCCACGTGCCTCGCCTGGCCACCAGGCTGCTTCTTTCCACTTCTTTCTCCTTCTGCTTTTGGCTGCACACAAGGAAAGCAGCTAAAGTCTTTTTTTCTCTCTCCCAAACTCTACCAGAAATGAGTCTTTGGGACCTTGCAAGGCATCCTGCTCCAAGAGGCTGTGCCATTCTGGTGGAATTTGGGGGAGAGAGAGAAAGATTTCTGCTGCTTCTGCTGCTTTCCTTGCATGAAGCCAAAAGTCTCTGTCTCTGTCTCTGTCTCTGTCTCTCTCTCTCTCTCTCTCTCTCTCACACACACACACACACACCTGAAAACGGAGCTAGAGATGGTATCCTGTGATCCCAAATAAAGAATGATCAATGAGTAGGAAAACAGGATGGGGAATTTTCCTGCAGACTTTTTCGGGGATTTTCCCAGGGTGTCTGGTCCACAGGATTTAAAATTATAAATTTGGTGATCCCTGAAGTCCAAAAGGTTGACGACCCCTGCTATAGAGACAATGCACATTACATACATACATAGGGAAGGAGGGAGAGAGGGAGGGAGGGAGAGAAGAGTTGGAATTACAAATTAAGGGTAACATCCACATAACTGATGGGGAATTCTCCTGATGCTGTAAGTTGATAATGTGAACTCTGCTCTAGGACAGCCAGAGTAATACGAATTGGATCATGTCTTCATTCATCAACTGTGGACTTCATTGGGAGCTTTTAAGCCAATCAAGTTGTCTCACTCAGAACTTACAATACTGTTGTTCAGAGGTTAAAATAAGGAGTCCTTTTCATCTATCCTATGCTCCCACAGAAGAAGAGACTGGACTGCCATTTGTTAGAAATGGTGTAGGGTTTCCTGCTTGGGTGAAGGGTTGGACTAGTTGACCTACAAAGTCCCTTCCAACTCTGTTAATCTAATCTAAAGAAACCCCATGAGATGTATGCCAAATATTTATTGAATCTACTATATATGTTATAGGATCCGAGGGGTCCGTGATGCTCTTTGAGCTTGGCTGTTTTCTTGCAAATGTTACATTACTCAAACTATGTAACAACATCAGTGCTAGTAGAGAGTGGGGTTTGCTCTCAATTTATATTTCAGTGGCTTGCCTTGTCAGGGGATCCATATGGGTTCTTATAGTATGAAGGAACTCATAATAGATAAAGAAACTCTTTTGTTAAAATCATAGAATCATAAGATTATATATGAATTATGAATTACATATATGATTATATATGTTACCTATATACAGTTAGGTTACCTATACATCAAAAGAGTGGTAAATTAAGAGTGTATCAAATTAAAATAGATTGTAAAGAAGACAAAACCAGTTCTTAAAGCATAATTTAAATGAAATACTTGGCAAGATAACTGCCTGTTAATCACTCCAAAATAATATAATTACAGGCTTTGTATTTGGTTTTTTTTTTATCAATTAAACAAAATTTCCCGCTAATTTTTGAATCTTCAGAATTGCTTTTGGATTTTGTGTCTGTGTATAAATGTGTATATTATATATAATATACATACATCCAAAGTTACATCTATAATTGATTCTGACACTAGAACACTTTTTCCACTCTTGAACATTCTAGCTGTACTAGTCTTTACCATTATTATAATTTCTAGCTAGCATAGCAAACTAATTTTTGGAGTTAAAAGTCCAACATAATCTGGACAGCATCCCATAAGGAAAGATTGGATTAGGATTATTTGTAATAGTTTTATTGTTAATGATATGAGCAACAGATAAACATAATCATGCAAGTAATTTCAATTATATGTTTAGTAGTTCTAAGCTAAATTTCCATATTTTCTAAATGCAAAGATCTTTAATAATGAGGCAGTCTTTCATATTTATACCCATTTCTAGCATGTTACTAATTTATGAGGTGCTTTATCAGCAAAAATATGATTCACATTTATACAAAACTTCTGATACATAAATGGATTTCCAAGGGGTCAAGTGATTCCCATTTTCTTCTGTATCAAGGATGGCTGGCTGGAGCTGTCCCCCATACTGAAGTGAACTTTTAAAAGAAGCTCCAAATAAATTGATGGAAAGAGAGATGTGTTAACTAGAGTTCCGGAATCAAGGCGTTTGAAAAACCCAGCTGAGCTTTTATTCTAGGCCATACTAGAATATTCTCATTTTTTTCTAGAACATTAAGCACATCCAGGGGTGGGATTCAGATTTTTTAACAACCGGTTCTGTGGGCGTGGCTAAGTTGGTGGGCATGGGTTGGTGGGCATGCTATTGGCTGGGCGTGGCCAACTCAACATCACTCACATCGAGGCACGCATCTCCTCTCCTGGCCTCTCATGACTGTGGAGATGCTGCAACAGTCGTAAGTGTGAAAAATGGTCATAAGTCACTTTTTTCAGTGCCATTGTAACTTTGAATGGTCACTCCACACAAGCAAAGTACCAGCAAAGGAGAGGGAAAAAACTCCAGAGATGTTCCTGAGACAAGAAGTCTAGTCCTGCCAAGAATGTAGTAAGGGTTAACAGAGAGGCAGTTTCTGTAAGCAACACCAGAATGTTTCCTTCCTGCCTTTCTTACAGGATTAGGCCAGTAATTTCTTCTAACAACCGGTTCTCCAAACTGCTTAGAATGTTAACAACCGGTTCTAGCGAATAGGTGCGAACTGGTAGAATCCCACCCCTGAGCACATCCCTATTCCAAACAGTCTACTGGTATCTAAAAAGTAACTAGTCCAAACAAAATAAGCAAGGATTATTTTTACTCACAGCTACCACTAGAGGTCAGACATGCTATAAACATACAAAAATTTAAAACCGTAAATCGAATGTTAAGATTTGTATTCATTTCAATTCAATTAATGCCTTACAAGAAATGTGTTTAATATAGCACAAAGAAGCTTCAAGAAAATGAAAACAGGGCCAATTTACCTCGCAACCACAAAAGTCCTGAAGGAAAAAGGCAAAACACTGGATGACATTAATGTGCTTCTGGCAATCTTTATTGGAATAGCACAGGAAGACTTTAGGCCGAGGCTGCTGCCTTTCCACATGGAGAGATGCAAAGTAGGTAGAAGATTCAGAACTCTCCTCATCTAAATGGGAATAGATATTTTCTAAATTGAAACAAAAAAATTAACAGTGAAGCATTTTGCTATCTATGGAGAAGAACTGCATTATTTTCCCCTTTCAGCTTGGAAAATTCAAATTCTTGTGTTTTTTCTCTCCTAATTCCAAAAACAGTCTGGTTTCCTCATTCTTAAGGTGACCAACTTTTTTACAATGAAAAGGAGGACACAAATAAATTGAAGAAATAAAACAAAGCCACTTGTGCATGGCACTCTCTCTCAAAACAATTCTCCTGTGTGAAGCGCATGCGTCTCATAATCGCGTCTCGCTGCACTGTATCGAGCCTTGATGAATCGTCATGTCAAATACAAATACGTCACATCACACACAACAGATCGGATCGGCATTGATCAAATATGGAGATTTACAGATTAGTCTTGAAATATCAAAAAGGAGGACATGTAGGAGGACACTTTTCGAGAGAGGACAGAACTTACAAAAGGAGGACTGTCCTCCCTAAAGGAGGATGGTTGCTCACCTTATCATTCTACATACATTGGCCTGAGGTTTTTTTTTTCCATCTAGGCTGCAGGACATTGAGCTGGTGACACGCACCCTGGCCATGCCCATTCGGCCCACCGAGGTCAAACACAACCCTGATGCGGCCCTCAATGAAATCAGTTTGACACCCCTGCACTAGATTGTGTAGATATGTACTATGAAGTCCTCTACAGCTGCATCTACTCAGAAATGCAAGCCCTACTCAGTGCAAGCACAAGGGCTCCTTCAAAACATTAAAATAAATGATTAGGTGTAAGGCTCTAGAATTCATTTATCTGTAAGCACAAATCTGTAATGCCAAAGGAATTCCAGCTTCTTTCAGGACTCAATTGAATGTGAGCCTGCAAACAGATCTCCAAAAAGCAGATCACCCAGATGCTGCACTGCAAACACCTGATTCTCTAGGATATATTAGATTAATTCTATCAGTCAAAAGACAAGGTTAACTGCAGACCCCTAGCTGATCACAGCAATGCCACTGCTTGCTTGCTGTATAACAGTATTCCAATGTTGTGTTAAACAGTTTTGCTAAACAGAAACATGTTAATTCTGGTACCAACATGGACATTTCAGAACAAACACGTTTAGAGGAGGTGATTTCTGGCAAAGGCGTCCAACTTTTTAACGAATTAATTTTCCCATGACTAGTTTTGTAAGGGACTTCCACCCCTCAGGTCATTTTGAAGCAAAATGCCTACCTTGTTGCTTTTTGCGACACATCACTGTAAAAAGTGTTGCAAATGCAGAGATGACAACCAAGGGTACTGTAATGGCTACTGCTCTTATTGGACCTGCCCATGGAGAGTGCACTTGGAGAAAGGTGGAAGAAAAATACCTAAATTAGCTTTTCTTAAACTGAGGTACTAGAACCACTGCATCTTCCCACAGTTGAAACATGCAAGGCAAACTAATTTTAATTAAATTACATTTTGTGATCCTACTCCACTAAATAGTATGAACTAAGGCTTTCTGAGATGAATTTTCCAATAGCCACAGGCTTTGGCTGAAGCCTTAACTATAGTTCAGCACAGATCTATGGAAGTTGTTCCCTCTTGAGGGGACAAACAACTCTGTTGGCTATAAAAAGGCCACTACCATTACTTTGGAAAAAGCTTCTTCATTTTTTATTATCTTAATCTTCTGGTGTTTTACTTTAATTTAAAAATAAAGCGCTGAGAGCCTGTGATACATGGTAGTACAAGTAAGTACACAAGTACACAAAAAACCAGATTCTCCCATTTCTATATAATTTGAATGTCAGAGAGGCTATGGCAAAGGGTCTCCATCCCGGAATGCTAACTGTATCCAATTTTCCTTCATATATTTTAAATGAAATAAAATAAAACAATCAAATTCAATCTGAGAAAATTCACATGCATCACTCATCCACCTTCAGAATTGATTAGCACTGTTTTGCCAATGCAGAACATTCATTATATAGGAAAGAATCAGTAATAAGAGCTGAAAGAATGACCAGATGAATATGAACAAGCTCTCATCTCTACTGCTATGGAAGCAGTCAATTTCAAAGTATAGGCTTAAGGTAATGGTATCCTCTAAAGCTCTTTTTATATGCATGTATTCTACTTATAGCTGCCTTATGAAATATTAAGAATTTTTTTTCATTTAAAAACATTATTAAAGAGTTTTATACCTGGCTTTAACACATAGTGCATTGATTTTCTTGTTGTGTTGGTATCATCAACAAGCTTAAGGACAAAGCAAAACAAAAGTAAATCATATGGCAATATTTATTTTAGAAACATGACAAATCACTGTTTAATACTTAAATTTCAAGAAAAAAAGTAAAATTATCACTAAGAGATAGGCTAATTTACAAATGAATTGTCCTATAATAACTAGTCTCTGATTTTTTATTAAACTGATTTAACACTATAGTATTGATTACACAGAAAACAATCCAAACTATGACCAAATTTGATTCAGAAAGAATAGTTTCAAAATATCCATGTATTGTACTTGGTATTCTCAATAAAGTAAGAAGAAAAATAGTTTGGAAACAAGACAATTATTGTCCAAAATTATTAGATTAACCCTCTTAAGAAAGGGACACGCCATTACACCTTTCAAGGCTAATGGTATTCACCCTCTCTCTTCAAGAAGCCATACCATTGCATGAATCCAATTGCAAGTCATCTTCCAAGAAGCCTTGACAGCCCTAAATTAATAAATAGGCAGCCTAATACAGTTTAGAAAAAGCTGTCCACTTCATGGGAAGTTATAGAAGTCACTCAGCCCAGTAACCCACAAGGCACAAGGCAGCCAGACTTGCCCAGTTGGTGTCTGGCTCCATCATAACTGTCTATCCATCTGAACAACCAATCCAGTTTCTAATTTTCCAGCAATGTCATGTATGTACAAAACAACCATGCAAACAAAAATTCAATTGAAATTTACTTCAGTTCTGAAGGGGATCAAGAATAGCTGATTTTGCCATTTCACTTTTATGATATTGATGTTTTTTTATTAACAAGTTATTCTATATTCCAAGAATTATTCTATATTCCAAGAAATTGGCAAGAGTGCCTCTTGCCTCCAGAAAGAAGTGTCTAAAATTCACCAGAGATGAATTTAAATAAAACTATAAATCCTAAAATGCATATAAATGGCAATGATTTGATGAGATTGTCAGTCTTGAAAAAGAATGCTGACGTCTACAAGATCCCCTGATAGAGTAGGAGCATTATAAGATCAATTTAGCATTCTTGTGAAATTTCAGGTGATTTTTTTTATGACGCTTGGGTGAACATATGAGATCAGACTGTTAGTGCCAAAGTCTTGAAAAAATGTACAGACATTATTCTATATTGTAATGCAAAACGAAGATAAAATACTAATTACGCTCCTAGTTTCAAAGGAAATAACTGAATGTTGGCTACAATATCTTCTACTCCTATCTTCTTCTACTACAAATAATTCATTACCTCAATGATATAATCTCCAGGTGAGACATTCTGAAGAATACAAGTTACTACATCTGTATTCTTTTCCTATGAGAAAACCAGAACAATTATTCCTGCATTCAGAAAATATTTTCAATATTAGAAAAAAACTATATTTTCATTACAAGATTATCACTTCTGAAAGTTATACCGATTCCCAAGCAATTAAAGATACAGATTTATAAATGAAGTACATAAATCATTAATCCAAAAACCTTTGGAGTTCTTGTTTTATTAAAAATCTCTCCCTAGTCCAGGTTAACAAAAAATCTTTCCCTACCGTGTTTCTCATATAATAAGGCCGGGTCTTTTTTTTTTTTGAGCCCCGAAAAAATGGCTAGGTTGTCTTTTCGGGAGTGACTTAATCTCCCCCCCGTTGCATCTTTGGGCGAGTGGGTGGCGACGGCTTGGATGTTGACCTCGGCGTTGGTGGGGCACTTTGTATCGGGGTCAACGCAGGCAGCACCATATCCGGGTGTGCAACAAGAGTACTTCCTAACAGCAAGCCCCCCCCACCATTCCCCCCCATTTCGCATGTTTTAATATAGGCCTTAATTTGGGGGGGAGGGGCTTAATTTCATTTCATGCCTATAAAACATGCTGGGACTTCCTATTGGGGGAGGCCGTATTGTTGGAGAAACAGGGTAGTTATAAAGAATTCAGAACCAATACTCAAAACAGAGGACAAGGTTTTTCTTTCTCATAGCCTTTTCTGGATTACAGCCAAATGTATCAAATAGCAAAAGGAGGAGTTTCCCCAAATGAATGCATATCACCGAATGCAATCAGCATTTAAGCAAAGAAGAGAAAGAAAACAGCAGTACCCCTTGAATTATATTTCACTGAAAATCACATTAATTCCAAACTACCCTAACTCAAAGTAATTGTTTTTTATTCCCAGCTGAAATAAATAAAAATGTAATAAAGTAATAGCATTTACAAAAACTTAATTACAACTTTTATCTACATGTCATAAATATTGATTAAAAAGGTATTGTATGTGCTTTCAAGTGCTCTAATCTAATGCTTAAATATTGCATTATGTTTCACCCTGCAATCAGCCAATGTAGAATTATTATCTCTAAAGCATTACTTCATATGTCCATCATTTCAAGTAAAAATGCAATTCAAAATGCAAAGAACAGAAAAGAGTGGAGAGAAAAAAAGATAGACCATAGAGTCTAGGGAACATAAACAGCCCCACTAAATACAGTATAATAGGACTAGATTATTTTTTTTTCATGCTAAATCTGGAGCTAAATGTAAGGTTCTGCAAAACTGAAGAAGCATTTGAAGTATGGTGGCGATCAACATTCAGCAGGAGGTTACATCTCCTCTATGCCATCCTGAACTTGCCCATATGGTTATTCCATTTCAGCTGCTCCATCACAGTGTTTCTCAACTTTGGAAACTTGAAGACATATGGACTTCCATCTCCCAGAATTCCTCAGCCAGCATGGTTGGCTGGGAAATATTGAGAGTTTTAGTCCACCTGTCAAAATCGGAGAAACACAGCTGTGTCAGAACTCTTCCCAAATTCTTTATGATGTTAATGTATCTGCAAACCCACTACCATAGCTGAATCTTTCACCAAACCCTGTTAGTGTCAGCTAAACTAACCTGATATAAGAGTGGTCTCTAAATGTCTTAGAAATTAGGTTAGATCCAACATTATAAAACATGAGCAAACCTGTTTACAAATCTTCTGTTTGAACTTTCCATCAGTTTTGAGCTTGTAGTGCAGGTAGTAATATCTGAATCCAAAGTTATGTGGTGCATGATCAAAAGATACATACATATTAAAACCTTGCTGCGTAATATTCAAGCTTCTTGGCTTCCAAACTATCAAGGAAGAAAGATTTAAACAACAATTGGAACATAGTTTTTTTAACTTGATATAATCTTAGTAGAGACAATGTTAAAATTGCAGTTCCACTTACAAGGTTTGCAGACTAGGTTGTCTGGTTGCAGCAGCAATTCACAAGCTATTTAAAGAAAAGAAATAGACAAAAAGCAAAATTGTTTCAAATTTCAGGTCGTCCGAAAAGCTAACTTCACAAAATAAGGTTTTCATTTAGACGGGAATATTTTTTTGCCTTCCTTTGTATAAAAACTTTAAGAGTCTGTGTATCAGACAGAAAAGGTGGGGCTCCTGTAACAGTTTGGAATTTAGCCATAGTTTGAAAAACTCTACCTTGCCAGAAACCTGGTGCTTATTTTATGTGAACAACTTGTTTAGGCTAATTGGTACCTGCCCGTATTTGCGAGTAAAAGAGAGTTTAAATCCTCCAGCAGATATATAGAATAATCCTTTGATTTTATGGTGCACATTACAAAAAGCATATGCATTCTTACATTAATACAAACTAGAGATGAAGGGTTCATCTGTTTCCTTCTGCTCAAATGTAAAAAGTAGCTAATGGTCACTTTGGATTAGGACTATGCAAATATTTCAAAATCTATACTTTAAAATTCATGAGAATGTGTACAAAGCATCTCTTTTCAAACTGTTAGAGCAGCAGCAGCACTTTTTAATCTGTTGCACATATCTTGAAAAGATATGTATACTTAGGTCTCCAAATGACATGAAAGACAATAGAAGATCCCAAGTCTTAATATCATATGCCTCATATATGTATAGGCTGATGGATTTTTAGACCAGTCATTTAATTTCCCCCAAAAAAATAATAGTTGCTGAGAGAAAGGCATGCACTCAGTTTTTTTTACAGGAATATCATAGTAAAATCAACTCAGGGTGTCAAAATCTTTGTAAATATGTTCCCATAATTCATCCATATTTTCTCTCCAAGGCCTCCAAAGCCATTTCACTTAAAGTAGGCTTTGATGTGAATTTTAACTAGAAAGCATGCAATTTCAGCTGCTATCAGCTTTCATTAAGATTCAGGATACAAAGATCTGTAAGGCAGAAAGAATAATTGCTGTTGTACTTACGACGAGTTCTGAAGAAAAAAGGATGGTAGTTACTTTCATTCTTAAAGGATGGAAAAGGAATAATCTTTACGAAGTAATCAGTTTCAAATTTCAGATTTAGGAAGGGCTGAGATTCCACTCTCTGAAAGGGAAGAAATGTAAACCAATTAGTAGCATTTTTTTAACATGTCCTGGGTAATCACACAATTGTGTTATTTTCCTAACATAATTCCAGATTTCCCATTTACAGGAATCAATGTTAGCACCAGAAGAAGACCAACTTCCTTATCTTTTATGACAATCCAATTAGTTAAGAGTTTAAGAAGAATTTAGAGAGTCTAGTGGGTGCGTTAGTTTTTTATTAATTACTCCTACTGGACTCTCAAAATTCTTCTTTAAACCTTAACCAATTAGATTGTCATAAAAGATAAGGAAGTTGGTAGAAGGTGTAGTCCACAATCTGTTTCCTCATAATTCCATATTTATTTTTCATGCAAATGTAAAATGTGAAATTAAATATATACAGATGCTGCTAAATTGCAACTTTCTCCTGCCTTCTTAAGCATGAATCTGAAAAAAAAAATGCCACTCATTTAAGGAATCTACAGATTAAAATTATGGCAATACTTAGAGCACCAGAGTCCTTCTCGGGGTAAAGTGTGCACAACCCTAGTGAGGGGTCCCCAGACTCTGATATTCCTGGCAAATATTGGAGATAGAAATATCCTTTGGTAAAGTGTCCCATCGATTTCAATAAGGTTTCTGCTCTGAGATTTCTATGATTTTCAACGCTAAGACTTACAGTCCACTTATAACTTGAGTTGAGCTGCTTTGGATCTTTTAAAAGCAATTGCTGACATTGTCTTCTTTCCGATTTTAATTCTTCAAGTATAACTCGAAATCCTTTCAGAAATTCAATACCTGCATATATTTAAACAGATACATACTTTTACTGATGAATATGTTTTCCTTAGATTTATACAGCGATTTCAATTTGCAAAAAGTGACTGACACACTTATAATGTGTAATAACTTCAAAATATGGAACTAGAAAATAAAATACATCCCAGACAGAAAAGAGAACAGAGAATGAAACAAAAACAACAGGAGGTGTATCAGGAAAGTTTCACCCTTTGTTCAAGCTCTAGACTCCTATCATTTATGGAGCATGAAGTGTATACATCTATATGACTATCGTTGAGAATTCAGGGAATTGAATTGTGTGGCACTATACCAGTGGTGGCTGACCTTTTTGGGCTCCTGTGCCAAAAATTGTGCACGCGCTTGCAGGCTCGCACTCAGGTGCCAGCACCCAGAAGACAATGCACGTGCCTCCTCACGCCCCCTACGTATGCACGCGTAATCCCCGGTATTTTCGGAAAAACAGGAAGTGATGAAATGGGGCTAATTTTCAGCCTGCAGAACAAGCCTTTGGGAGGCCGAAAAAGGCCTCAAACCGGCCGAAAATCAGCTGTGAGGCACGTGCATACCCAGTGAGGTAAGTTTGCCTTCCGCTCGCATGCCGGCACAAATGGCTCTGCGTGCCACCTGTAGCATGTGTGCCATAGGTTCGCCATCATGGCATTATATACATCAGGTAAGCATATAATTTAGGAAAACTTGGCAATTACATTTGCACTGTCTGGCATTCTTAAACAAGCAGATCCTAAGAAAATATTCTAAGAAGACCAGACAATGAATAAGAAAAGTTAACCAGATCCCTGTAACCTGAGATCCTTCAACTTCACTTCCTCCTTGATATTTTGAGAGGGATTAAGTTCTGATCATTACAAGAGAAAATGCCAAGCTTTGTAGGCCTTGGAGATTTAATGCAACCAAGTCTGCAATTGCAAATTAGCAATTCGGTAACACTGTGCTCTTAGAAGCATTGGATATCACTTCCACGTTCTTTTTAATAGCTACCCATTGTTTTCTACTCAGATTAGGAGCACACTCAATATAATGAAATACATTGTGATTTACCAACATTTAACCATCCCTTTTACCGTTTCCCCAAAATATATGTAAAATGCTTTTGCAAATGTGTTTCTATCATCAGTTCACTATTATGGCCCCTTTCAAAAAGCTGATGAGGTTTCAATGCAGCCTGTACAAATTTGAACACAATTAAAAATCTATGTGGGAACACATTATTTCAGAATTCAGTACATCTTTACATTACTTTATGTTTAAATTTCTCTAATATTTATATCTAAGCAAGTCTGGGAGGAACTTGTAGGAAAAGGTTAAATAACATGGAGGGAATTAAGTTAAGTTAAGTTAAGTTGCATCAGTCTGAATGGCAAACATTAAGAGCACTCCTATCTATTCATAGATGAAGATGATTTCAGAATGACAGAGAAAATGCAATTTGGAAGTAGAAGTGCCTTTAAACAGAAGGCAGGAATTCTTCTTTATATTTGGCAACTTAGCCTGGCTTAAATGTCTTGAATTCTTTCAGAACAGACTTTAATGTTAATAATGTTGGGCAAAGCTTAATTTCAGGAGATCTGAAATATGGATTCAATGAAGGTGACAGAGTTTAGCTGGAATGGGGAAAAAGTAGAAATTTCCAATGGTTTGGCATCTGTTTGAAATTCAAGCTTTTCTCTACTTACCAATGGGGTTGGCTGTCCACAATACAGTCACTGCAACTTGATCAGAGCATGCATATTGACTAATAGTGATGTTCTGTACATCTCCAATGACATGTTTTCCTATTGAATTTAAATAAGGAGTACAATCTGGGGAAGAAACAATTAAATACATTTAAAACAGAAAATGTCTTCTGTATTATTAGAGAACATTCAGAGAGAATGTTCTTAACATCAGTCCAATAATATGTCTATGGAGATTCTCAATTATCCACCCAAAGTTGCTTTTCAATAGACAACTGGACTTTCTTGGGGTTTTTTTTCTTTGAACCGAAAAAGCTTCTTGGATGACAAGAGGAACATGTTTCAAAGAAAAATCCAAGAAAGTCCAGTTGCCTTCTGAAAAGCACCTTTAGGAGTCCAATGATATCATTCTATTTTTAATCAGTTACTAGACAACCTGTGAGCTGTTGGGTCACCATTCTATGGTTTTCATTGTCATTCTGGAGACCTGAAGTCTTCCATCTCTTTCCTTATTTGTTCTTTGTCTCTGATCCTGGAGACATACATTACTCTCCTCCTTTGTCTTCTCTTCTCTGTTTTCTTTCTATGCCTCTTGTTGTTATTCTGAAGACATGCATGCCTTTCCTCATCTCTCTCTCCTTGTTTTATGTTATTTGTCCTGACTGCTTGATCCTGTAATTGTGTGGCCCTGGTCTCATTCGATTCTTGTTCTCTGCTCCTCTTTGCTGCTTTCTGAAGACATATGGTATCATCTGATGACCAGGACAGCTTCCTCTCTTTCCACACCGCATAGTTATATTGACAATATTTTTTTTATTATGGCTGGTCAGACAATCAGCCAGATGTTTAGATTGGATTTTGTATTTTTATCCACCTATTGAGTCCTTCCCAAGGATCTGGGATAGGTAGATGTTTATTTGATGGTGTAAAGTTGTTGTCACAGGATGAACGCTGTCCCACATAAAGCTGCCTTTTGCAACAATTATTATTTTTGAACTTAATTTTTCCTGCAATGCTGTAAGGTGCTTTCATCGACTCAAAAGAATTCAGACTTCCTGCCAGTTCCCCCATTGTTTTATGGGAAGTTGGCAGAGAGTGCTGCAGATGATCATCATGTGACTGTGACCGACTATGGCAAGGCAGTGGTGTAGCTGATTGTGGCAGTGTGGTGCTGCTGAAGTGGCCACATCTTGCCAAATGTCAATCCCACATGACTAATGGGCCCTGATTTTGGGCACATTCTTGAAGTTAGCCTCTTTGTGGTACTTTGATTTGAAAATTGTTAGCCTAATGGATTCTGTGTCCATTAACATGGCATTGTTATTAATTAGTGAAGATTCTCATTATCCATTTATTGCCAGAAGAGTGGTTATCCTCTCTTAGCTTACTCAGTTCTTTGTTATATAATAATGCTATTCCTGGAATTGATCACTTTTTATTTAGCTGCATTATATTTTTTCCTAAGAAGAAATAGCTAAAAGTAGATTTCTTAGAAATAGTAGGATTCCACTACTATTGTGAATGACAGCAAAAGTTTCATGCAGAAAAACAGCCATCTGTGTAGGAAATTTGAAACAAGAGCTTCCTCCAACATCTGGATCCACTTAAAGGATAGTGTTGCATTTTGTTGGCAAAAAAGTATGTGTTCCAAAATGACAATTTGCCAAAAATCGAGGAAAATACTATAACCTCTCATAACCAAAAAAAATCCTTACTTTCCATTTCTCCATTTTATTTTTGTACATTGTTAGGCTGTATAATCTCTAGCAAAGGCATATACTTTAAGTAAAAATGCATTTCAGTTGCTTTACACTAAAATGCATTACACTAAAACTTTTTTCAATGCATTACACTAAAACTTTAAAATTAAATAGTAAGTGTATCCTTGTTGTGATAATAATTCTGTTTAGCAAAGGAACTTAACAGATTGTGTACTTCAGAAATCCCATCTTTTCCTGTGAGGAAAGAATCTATCTGTGTAAGATTGTGATCTTGACAGGGTTGCCCATTTGTCAAATAACAGAGATCCAAGAGATTATGGATGAACACAAACAGGTTTTCTAGAACAAAATTCGGCTACTGTTGAAATTAGTTGAAATTATAAATTAGCACAACCAAACTTCTCTTTAAAGAGTATGCTTGGATAGACTAAATTGCCAGACAAAATTGTGTCAGATAAATCATATCATCAGATTTGGGGGCTATATATTTGAAGTTCTAAATTCCTCTTGGTATGCAGCCTTGACTTTCCCTTCAAAGAAGAAAATGAAGAGGCACAACATTTTTTTTTAGTATTATAAACTCAATGCAATCATGTCTATATTCCAATTGTACTTTATTCTGCATTCTCTCTAGTCTTCTTTTTAATTACTGTTGCTTGTTGCTTGCTGATTTTTTGCATCTTTTATATACCACAGTATAATGTTTATATAAAGATTCAAGTTTGCTAAAAAAACAAAAAACACCACTTTTTTTCTTAAAGGTTTATGGTGTTTCCTGTGTTCGGTACCCTGTTAGCTCTATGTTTTCTTATGGAGATTGTCACACAATAATAATTCAATATTTCTAAAACTTCAGAGGGGAGAATGATTTATTAGTCAGAATCATGTGGAACAGTGAAAGAATTAAATCCTATTTGTTTGCAGCTACAAATGTTAGGAAAGCACAGAAATAACCCAAAGTGTTCTGCCTTTCTTTCATATATTCATCAAAATGTAAATTGTTTTACTTTATCTTATTTAGGTAAAATTTGGATAAAGATACCATGGCTGAACAAAATAGTTTTAATTTACCCCTTAAGTTTTTAATTGACAATACATTTTTCTCTATTTCAAGTAAAAGTGTAAGTGATTAAATAAGAACAAATTCAATGTTATTTTCGAGAGAAGTCATGATGCAGAAGGATAACTTACTGTCATATTTAAAGGTAATATTAGGCAGCCCAATATTCTTTCCATTTGGAGAGAGGCCCTATAGAAATACAAGAAAGAACACAGTATAAGCCAGTAGCTGAGATAGTAAGTCAGACCTAGCTGATGAATGAATTTATTTGACTACATCATTCCAATGTGATACAGCTGAATATTAGGATTCCATCCAGTGAAGGATATTACATTCCTGAGTTTGATGAAACTCAGGAAAAATTCTTAACTCTACAAAGTATGAACATTGTATGGTTATCTTAAATGTTTCATGCTTCCTGTTAATTACTGATGAATATGGTTCTGTAAATAGACTCTTAATATATTATAGAAAAAATACAAAGAGAATCTACAAAGCTTTGGGATCTGGGGAAAAGATACAAAACAGGAAAACATTGAATATATATAAATTCTTACAATATATATACTGCATGGCTGAGAAGATATCTCCCTAGATAACAAGGAAAATGTTGAATACATATATTCATCGAATGTCATCAAAAGGATACACTATCAATGAAAAACTTTCAAGAAAGCTATTATCCAAATATCACAAAGAACAGTCTCATGAGAAATTACCCAAATAATTTTAAAATTTGTCCAATTTTAATGGACAGTGATCAATACACAGTGTCCAACAGGATCACAGGTGATAAATAAAAGTTTTTTTATTTAATAAATGGCATCCAGAATCATTCAGTTTTGTCAGGTGCAGTCTTCCTTGCCAAACTATTTAGTTTTTTTTTTAAAGGAATGAAGCAGTACTTTAAAATGCAATCAAGTAACAATCACTGCAAATCAAACAAGATTTGTATTATATGAAGCAGTCTATGTAAATAATACATCTACTTTCTAAAATAAACAATTCAGGCTCCTTCTATAGTAGGGATGTCAAATTGGATTTCTCGGAGGGCCAGATCAGCATTGTAGTTGGGCCGGGGGAGGCAGGCGGAGATGGGACGGACGCCTCCTGCAGCACTCTGCCAGCCAAAATGGAGTGGGGGGCTACATGCGGCCCCTCCCTGTACCCCATTTTGGCTGGCAGAGTGCTGCAGGAGGCCATCCAGGCTGAAAACGGAGTATGGGGGGCGTCCTCTCCCCCACACACACACCTCATTTTTGCTAAAAGAGGCACAGCGGGCCAGTCCTTTGCTATTTCCAGGCCAGCCCCGTGGGCCAGATCTAAGCACACCACCACAGGCCGGATCCGACCTGCGGGTATTGAATTTTCCACCCCTGTTCTATAGCTTTGCTGGTACAAAGGCTCCCCTTAGTTACTGGTGTTACTTAAGTAAGATAAACAGGCCAAATATAAAGTATTTGGAAGCTTTGTTGATCTAGGAAAAGTCACTGAAGTTAAGGCAGTGGTCCCCAACCTTTCTGGCTTTGCAGACTGGTGGTGGCCATGGTGGGCGAGAGGGGTGGCTCTGTGCAAGGAGCTTTGCCTGCTGCTTGTGAAAGTGGAGCTGCATGCACAAATGCGCTCACCCCACACTTGTATAGCCCAGTTCCAAACAGGCCACGGCCCGGGAGCTGGGGACCTGTGCATTAAGGACTATATATCTTGAAACTGCTTGATACATTTTTAGTTCATAATGTCTTTTAATGAAGGCCAGACAACATAAGGTAATCCTTAAGCAGGCTGCAAATCTACAGAGAAACCACAAACGAAAGAAACTCACACAAGAAGGAACAAAATTCAGTTCCTTAAGAAACCCAACTCTCATTTACACAACCAAAGACATCTTAAAGTACTTCTATTTGAGTGCTGATATGGTCCAAATCTTCTGAACGTTTTTTTGTTTTCCTAAGTGGAACAGAACAGTGATTTGGCGACTTTCATCATCCACAAGTGAAAAGGGTTTTCTCCTCACCCTTCAGCAGGATATTTACTGAGGTAAAGAGGGAATAGCACAGCTTTCCCCCACCCACCCCCATGGACTCCTGGACACTAAGCATGAGGTAAGGCACCATCACCTGGAAAAGATTCCCCTCCCCATTGTAGGAAGCCATTTCTAGTGTTAGGATCCCAGAAGCACCTCTCCCAACTCTGGCCCAGGAAAGAGTTATTGTCTAACGTAGGTAAAATCTCTAATCTGATTGTTCATTGCTTGTTTTAAATACATAGCCAGTACCTGCTAAAATCTCAAAAACCGAATGAATACTTCAGTGACTGAGGACATGTCTACCTAGATCTTTCAAAGTTTCTTCATAACTAGCAAACCCAGGAAAAGTTACACAAGAGACTATGCAATTTTTTTTTTCAAGTTGCAGAATTCACACTTCAATTCCATCATTTGGCAGCCTAAGAATAATTTTATAACATTCATCTTCAGGGCATTGGATATGGTGACTGTTAATGCTTTCCTAGCAAGGTAAATCAGTTTAGTTCTAAATCAGTTTAGTTCTAATTGATCAATCAAATGTCAAGTAATGGGAGATCTGTAATCACCATGTTTTGTCTGTGTTTTTAGATTTGAACAGTAACAGTAAGCAACCACCAAAGGTATTATGTAGGCCTAACTTTTGGAATCTTTAAGTGGCCACCCAACATAAAGTTTGCAGGATTTCTACTGTACCTGCCTCTAAGCTAGCCATCCAGACTCTCAAAATATTGCTGCACAACACTGTCGCTTCATCAAGCGGTTTAATTTGGTGCAAGTAGTGTTTGACTTATGACCGTTTGTTCAATACAGGTAGTCCTTGACATACAACCACAACTGAGCTCAAAATTTCTGTTGCTAAGTGAGACATTCGTTAAGTGAGTTTTGCCCCATTTTACAACATTTCCTGCCACCGTTGTTAAGCGAATCACTTCAATCATAAAGATAGTCACACAGTTATTAAGTGAATCTGGCTTCCCCATTGATCTTGCTTGTCGGAAGGTCGCAAAAGGTGATCATGTCCTAAACATGAGTCAGTTGCCAAGGAGCCAAATTTTGATTGTGAGACTGTGGGAATGGTACAACGGTCACAGCTCACTTTTTTCAGTGCTGTTGGAACTTTGAATGATCACTAACTGAATAGTTGTAAGTTGAGGACCACCTTACGAGTCAGTTTCCAAGCATCTGAAGTTTGATCATGGGATGATGCGGTGCTGTAATGGTTGTAAAGTCTGAAAAACACTCCTAAGTCACTTTTTTCATTGCCATTATAACTTTGAACGGTCACTAAATGAACTGTTGCAAGTCGAGGACTACCTGTATCTGTTCAAAATTATGATAGTGCTGAACAAAGGGACTTATGACCAGTGCTTGAGAATACAGCCATTGCAGCACCCCACAGTCACATGAACAAAATTCAGGGACTTGGCGACCCAAGTATAACAGAATAGAATCGGAAGGGACCTTGGAGCTCTTCTAGAATCCAGTCCAATTCCCTGCTCAAGCAGGAAATCCTATACCCTTTTAGACAAATGGTTGTCCAATCTCTTCTTAAAAACCTCCAGTATTGGAGAACCCACAAAGTGCAAAGATATAATTAGAAAGATAATGAAAAGTACAATATATTAACAAGTGCTTGAAAATCCAGTTGAAAGGAGAAAAAGGAAATGTTTCAAACCATTTATGTACATAGTCTACATAAAATATTCCAATGCTATCCTTCCTCCTCTTTTAAGATCACAAACATTGATATTCAAGAATGAAGAAAGAATAATTATATTATCCAGCAACAATTTATTTATTTTTCTCCCACAAAGATTTAGCTAGACCTGCCTGGACAGCTTCTTTAAATCACCCCTAAGCATTTTGTTGGCTTCCATTATATTGACAGAAAAAAAACAACCACCATGGTTTTCTCTTCCCTCAGAACAATCAATGGATTAAATCATTTCCTTACCTCCTACAGAGTTGCAACACAAATGAATTTAGGTTAGGACTCCGGGGCAAAAAATTGTTTTTCACTTATACTGAGGTTTTTTTTTTTAAATCCTGTGGGAATATACTGAAGTGTTTTGCTAGAAAAAGGAATGATCTTACATTTTAGCTTCTGACAGTTCAACCAAGAATTTTTCTAATTCCTAATCAAACTTTTACTAATTATGAACAAGCAAGTATATTCTTGTTCTATTGAATTAGTCAATAAAATTTAATGGAGAGAGATCCTCACTATTTATGATGCTGTTTTAATATTCCAGATGCAATTGTATTCCTCTTTTTCAGGATTCTAAATTAAAAGCATTTCAGGCAGGAGTTTAATTCAAGATTGTGGCAGTTAAAATCTACTACTAAATTCTAATTGTACTTATAAAGCATGCAGAAAAGTCAATTGATATTACTCAGATATGTTGCTATTATTTGGAAACCAATCACAAACCTACTCATGTGAACTTATATTATATGATAAATATGAATAGGGAGGCTTCCTATTTATATTGTGTATTTCCCCATAATTCATTACAGTACAACAAACATATTTAAAAGAGGGACAGTGGAAACATTCTATAAATAGTATATACAGGATATATTCTATATCTGTCCTTCAAAACACATGCAAAACGTGGAAGTCAACATTTTTTAAGAATCTGAACATTTATCAGGCCAGCTTAAAATCAGAGTTTAGATAAAAAATCCACAAACAATACATTTAAAGCAACTGTATAACAAGCTATTGTCCTGTTAGTATAAGAAGTAAGCAAGCAAGCAGATACCTTTTATTTAGCACTTAGATCTTCACTTCTTCCCATCCAACCCCAGCCTTTTTAGTGGCAGTCTCTATATCTTCCTTTCCTATCTTCTATCTCAGGGGTGTCAAACTCACATTTTCGCGGTGGCGTCACATGATATATTGGTACTTTTCCCCCCTTTGCTAAACCAGGCATGGGCGTGGCCAGTGCATGACGCATCCAGCCCATGGGCTGGGAGTTTGACAGCCCTGTTATATCTAGTGGGCCATTTTGTGAAGGTGCGCATGTTCAGAGTAAAATAAAACAGTAGTGCCTTGTTTGGTGAGGGCCAATCATGTATCCAGAATAAGAGATTGGTGAGCCACCTGATAACATAGGGCTGTGATGGTGAACCTATGGCATGCATACCAGAGGTGGCATTC